AAAATCACAAATTTGAATTCAAGCTGTTGAATTCAAATTTTAAAATCACAAATTTGAATTCAAGCTGTTGAATTCAAATTTTGAAATCATTATTTATTTAAAAACAAAAAAACATTTACTCTATATCATTTTTCTTACATCATTGCATGTTGAAGCCATGGCAAATGTCCACAGTGCATGTGTGAACACTTCAACTACTACTACAGCTACTCCTTATCATGTCGGTGATGTGATTCTGGATGGCGATGAAGCTTCTCAAGTTGTGGTGTTTGAGCACGGTGCACCAACCAACTGGGCATTGCAAGTGTACAAATGGAGGCTCCACTTCAATATTCCAGATGAAGATCCAGAAGGTCATAGAGACAATGCTTTGGAGATCTTGACATCACCTCCACCACTTGATTCTGAGTCCAGCTGTAAGAAGAGAAAGCTACAGGATGCTGGCCTGGAAATGAATTGAATAATTTGTACAGCTGTAGTCACAGTTGTTTGTGCATTAGTTCTCCACTCAGGAGTTCACAATTTGTAATTCTTTGTGCAACACAGACTTGCACAAACTAGTATGCTGTTATGCTGTTGTCGTCTCAAAAGTATCTGACATACACTATATTTCAAGCAAATATATGCTGCCACTATAGGCATTGTTTGTGTAGGTTTGGCCAGTATAGGCTTGGTCTGAGTGTGTTCAGCCAATGTAGGCTCAGCCTTTAGAAGCTTACACTTGATATTGTGAAAAAGTTGTAATAAATACTATGTCAGTTGCCATTTCCAGCTACATCTAGTGGGCTGTGGTGTGCAGACAACATGTCTTGGACATCTGCAGATGTCAAGCTAGAGCTACAAGCCATGTCAAAGCTCTTGCATTCCAGACCAGGAGTTCATGAGCTGGAGGACAAGCTCTGCCAGTCTCTGAAGGCCAAGCTTGACCACATGACCTTTCTCAGCAATGCTGATTTAGTACTTTGCTATGACAGCCTCAAGGAGGCCACTCTCCCAGCAAAGATGAATGATGAGCTCTTGGCCAGTTTGGATGCTTTGGCTGTTTCCAGGGTCGACAATAGTGGCAGTGCAAAGCTGGCCTCTGCTGGCCAGGAGTGTAAAACTTTTGAGAAATACTTGACTGAGAGCGACCTTAGCCAATTGGCAACATGTTCTATGTGGGAAGGGTGCCAAGTGATATGCAGGAGATTGAGGTTACTGGGGATCACTGGCATGAAGGAAAGCTTGAAAAAGATTTGCCTGGGAGTCCTAGTGTGGCATGAGCAGAAGAGAACTAAACAAATGCCATGCCCTGACTCTGTGTATGCTTTGGGCCACCACTTGCTTCAGGTCTTGCATACCATAGCAGTGGAAGTCCCAGAGAAAGCAATGAGCTTGGCAAAGTACCCAGATGACCCTCTTCACTTGGATGCTGCACACTTCAGTGCTGCTTACCCTGAAGGAGGGCCTGCCAAGAAAGACTTCCCACAGTTGGCATTGATCATCCAGAAGAACATCAAGATCAGGAGCACAGCTTCTTGCCTTGCCAAAGATCCTTGGTTCTTGGTCATGCTATGTTATTTTGTTATGTTCTTATGCTCCCATTGCTTGTGTGTTTGTGTGCTTGTGTTGCATTCTGACAACCAGCATGGCTTTAAGGAGAGTGTGCCCAAGCAAGCCCCTGCAGCACAGAGTGAGCAACCAAGTGCTGGGTCCAAGAATTTGGTGGACCAATCTCTTGTGCTCATGATCAACCGCTTTACAGAGGCAGCATGTGGAATCCTTGGAACCCACAACAAGAGCAAGGAGGCAACCATTGAGATCCTCCAGCCTGGCCAACAAGCTGCTCAGCCTTCAAGGACTGACAGCTCTCAGTCCCTTGTGGGTAGCCATTTGCCTTTGGAAAATGACAGAACCATGAATGAAAAGAAGGGTTGCATCCAGGAAGCCTGCAAAGCCAAGAGTGATCATGGTGGTGTTGAACAAAAGGTGGCAACTCTTGAGGAGTGTGAAGAAGCCAACATGAAAAAGTTGCTTGAAAGGGAAGAACAAAAATCAGCAAAGAAAGGTGGCACCACAAAGGCCAAGGCTCAAGCAGCCAAGATGAAGAGACCTGCTTGTTGCAAGCCCAAAGCTCAGCCCAAGAAGGTTGCCAAATCTGTGGCTGCCACACATGTTGAAGTCAAGAAGGGGTGCAAGCGCTGCAGAGGCAACCGCAATGGTTGTGTAAAGTGCCTTGATCCAGCCTTTACAGGCATGAGGTTGACAAGGCAAGAATGGGTTGCTCATGCAAAGGCTCATTTCTGGAAGTAAGCTGTGACAGCCCTCTTTGGGATGTTCTCAAAGAGTTCATCCTGTGTTTGGGGCAGCTGGCATCGCAGAGTGGAAGCTGCCCCAGATGGCCAAGAGTGCAATCTCTACATGCAAAATCAACAAAAGGTCACTGGCCTATGCTTTTCAAGAGCATGGTGATGGCAGTGGGTGGAGCTCCAAGCCTCACCATGGCACAGACCATGGCACAGACACAAGTGCCCATCAAGTCCAAGGAGTTGCATCCCAGGCCTATGCAGCTCAGGTTCAAGGCCATCCAAGTCATGGTGGCACTGCGCAAGGAGTGCAACCCCAGCTCCAGGCAGCTCAAGTGCAAGGTCACCCAAGTCATGGTGACACTGCAGGAGTGCAATCTCCTGCTCAGATCCAAAGCCCTTCTCATCATGGTGCCCCTCAAGGAGTTCAATGTCCTGCTCAAAGCCCAGGCCATTCAATGCATGGTGGCACTCCAGGAGTGCATGCTACTGCCCAAGCTCAAGGACATGCAGCTCAGGTTGAAGCCAACCGCATGACTCAAGCCCAAGATGGCCAAGGCCAAGGTGGCATGGAGGTGAAGACTGAGCCCTCTTACTGGGAAGCTGGCCATGAGTCTGCAGGTGGCTATGATTCTGCAGGCACATGGTGGGAGAAGGATGCAGAGGTGGAGGGATTGTGGTGGTACTACCGCCCAGGCAAATCTTGGGGACGCTGGATGGACAAGACAGTGCCTTTGATAAAACCATAGTTTTAATGTGTGTTTATGCTTTTGTATGTTCAAGCTGTGATGTTATAGTTGGTGATTCATTCAACTATGTTCCTGTGAGGATGGAAATTCAATGCCTGGTGGCTGGGCAAACAAGATGGCTGTGCTGTTGCAAATGTACCAGGCCAGTGAGTTCACAGAGTTGAAGCGTACTTTGGCTCGCCTGTCAGAGCACCATGCAATGCAACAGCCAGTGCAAAAAGTGCACAGGGCATACCTCAAAGAAGGCAAGACTGCTTACAGTAAATACTTGCGACAATGAGGACTGTCTGCAGAAGGCTGGGCTATAAAAAGAGTTCTTTGCATTAGCTTTTTACAAGCTTACCTCATGAATAGCTTGTACAAGCTCAAACATTCAGCCTTTAAAGGCTTAACATTATGCCATTACAGGCTCATTCTAATATAATTTCAGTCTACATATACAGCAAAATATTGGCTCAACTACATATAGGTTAAGTAAGTTTTTGGATAACAATACATACTGAAATATATATATCTATCAAAGCGACTACCTGACATACAAGAATTTGAATTCAAGCTGTTGAATTCAAATATCAAAACCAAGAATTTGAATTCAAGCTGTTGCTGTTGAATTCAAATTTCAAAATCACAAATTTGAATTCAAGCTGTTGAATTCAAATTTTAAAATCACAAATTTGAATTCAAGCTGTTGAATTCAAATTTT